ACGTCAAAATCGCTCACCAGAAGCCAACTAGAGATTGCAGTCAAAGAGCGCACAGATTGTCCTCAAAGACTTTCATGAAAAGCTAATCAATCGTTTTCCCCGAGGCCCCAGCCCGAGAGATTGCCCACGCTGCCGAAGCCGGCAACCGAGCTGGTGCGCATACCGACAAGAAGCGAGTCGTCAGCAAAGCTGACGCTGCCGGGCTCGGCGTCGAAGAAGTGGTGGGGCGGGGGCGAGGAGGATTGAGAGAGCTCAGGGGGCGTGTTGTACTGGCTGGGGGTGCTCTTGGTCGGAGACGCGTCATGATGCGAGCGCACAGAGGGGTGGTCCATAATCTCCTCGGGTGAGACGAAGGAGGAGACGTGGCTCGCGACGGAAGGCGAGGGTGCCATGTCCAGGTCGTTCTCGTGGTGGTGCAGGGGAGAGGCGCGGGCGGGGGGGAGCGAGGGCATCGGGGCGGAGGACATGGGCGCCGACGACATGGAGACGGTCTCGAAAGGCATGGGCCGGGCGTGTCGGGCGTGTTGCTGTTCCTGCTTGATGTCCATGGTCATGGCGGCGAAGTCATTGTCGGAGATGGCGTTGTAGTTCTCGGGCGAGTTGGCACCGGACGTGTCAGAGTAGCCAGATTGCGAAGAGATGGAGCTGATGGACTGGTTCTTGGAGCGGGTGCGAGCGGACTTGTTGACACGCTCGTCCATTTCGGGGCGGTGCTTGCGGGGGCGACCGCGCTTGACGACCTTCTTGACGATGCCGTCAAAGGCGCCGATGCACATGCCGCGCTGGCGGTGGCGCGTGAGGGCATCGTGGCGAGCAAAGCTGTTGCCGCACTCGCAAGGGTAGGGCTTGATGCCGGTGTGAATCTTGGCGTGCCTCTTGAGGTCGTGCTGGCGGACGAAGCACTTGTGGCACGAGGGGCACTGGTACTGGCGGTCGTTGAGGTGGGTCTGGACGTGCGACTTGATGTTCTCCTTGCGGCCGAACTTTTTGCCGCAGTCCTCGAACAGACACATCCACTTGTTGTCGGCGGGATCAGGGCCCTGGATGTAGATGGCTATGTCATCCGTCGTGACGCCAGTCTCGGTCTTGGTCTCCTCAATGTTGATGCCGGAGATGCTGGCAGCGCTGACGATGCTGGCGAGGGAGTCGGTGCGGCGGTGGGGGGTTCCACGGAGCGATTGCGTGCGCGAGAGAGAGGGCGTCGCAGGGCTGTCGTGGTGAGGCAGACGGAGGTCTGGGTTGTCAAAGGGGCCGGGGTGGTAGCCGTTGTTCATGACGGCGCTGTGAGGAGTGTGGGGCGTGGAGTTCTGGGACATGCCGGGCGAGACGCCGAGGTCATCGGTCAATCCGTCAAAGGACTGGGTCTTGAGGTAGTCGGTGTCGAAGCTGTTCATGCTGATGAAGTCGGCAGCAGACACCTGGGACTCAAACGTCTGGGCCTCGGGCATGGTCGTGGTCTGAGGAGGCGTGGGGTTGGCAGACGACTCCTCAGCGCGTCTCCTCATCTCCTCAAAGACATTCTGGGCCCTCGATGCTGGCTTGGCACGGACGGGCTTGAGCGTCTCCTCCATGGACTCGTCGTAATCGTCAGAGAACCTGCTGGGCCTTGAGGCCTGCTCAGGCTGCTGCTTGACGATACGGTCATGGGGGGTCTCCATGGGCGTAGGAGGGAAGTAGCCTGGCACGTGTGTGAGCGAAGCAGGTTCATCGGAGCCAAGGCGCCTGGGGAGGAACTGACCGTTTCCGTTTTGATGAGGGGGTGTTGTCGGCCTCGAGGGCTCGCCACCCATGGTCTCAAACTTGGCCACACGGTCGAGGATGCCGTTGCTGATCCTGCGGGTCGTGCGCCTGAGAGTGGCGGCGGCGGCGGCGTCGCCCTCGGAGGCCCAGATGGGCTGAGCGGAAGTTGGGCTCTCGTTGAAGTCCATGAAGGCGGGCGACGAGAGATCGGTGTCGGCGCCAAAGAGGTCAAAGTCCTTGTCACTCATCATGGCGCCGACAAAGGCGGGATCGTCCTTCATAGGGATCATGACGTTGATGCCTCCTCCCTGGTAGGGGTTGAAGGGGACAGGGGAGGAGCTGCCGTCGAAGCAGGCGGCACCGAAGCGCTGGTGCTGGGGGGTGCCGTGAGGCGACATGACGTAGCTGTTGTCGTGGTCATTGACGGCGGCCATGAAGTTTTGCTGCTGGTGTTGCTGGTGTCGCAGCGGGTGAGGTGTGTGTGTGTGCTGAGATGTCTCGTGTGAGACTGAGAGGTCTGCTGTGGGGCCGG